TGTCAGAGAGCATCCAACGATGGCAACTCCCATTGCCCCGAAGCATTGTAATAGAGTCAAAAAAAAAATGTACAAAAAAGGGAGAAAAAGGCAGATGAACGTGGAAATGTGGCAACAAAAAAATTGTCATAATAAAATCCCCAAGCTTATCAGTAAGCGCAGCAGCAGTCAGGGTATTAACAAAAACAAAAAGCCGGGGGAGACCCGAACAGGCAAAATAAAAATTATATACCGCAGAAGGATTTAGGACCAAAACAGGGAGAGGACAAGAGTGAGAGCTGCAGCTTTGCTCATCCGGTGTGTCAACAATTCCCAAGCTTCAACGCTTTGATGTTGCCCGTGGAGCTGGAATCCTGACTAAGGCCGAGCCACTGAGCCAGACACTGGTGTCATCCACTCTGGCGCTGATGGCATCATTAACGCATATTCCGGACTGCCTTTCGGGCACAACCAGACACTGAGCCGAGGCGAGGCGAGGTGACGCGACGGGTCCGGGGATTGGTCCCGTTTCCGGCTTTTGAAGTTCGAGCGGCAGGCTTTTAATTTTCTTTGTCTTCTCGCTGGCGTTTGGGGCCAAAGGGCGCAAATTAATCGAAGGCTTAATTAGCACACACTCACCCACAGCAGCCAAGGACTCCCGACTCGTTGAGCGGCGCCAGCGTGGCGTATGATTAATAAACAGCTCCCTGGCGGATGAATCCCCCAGTCGTATCCCTCCACGCGATTTATGCTGTGTGCACCAATTACGGGCATCGATGAAGGTGAAGGTTGTCAATACGGTGAGGCGGTGAGTTGCCATTTGGAAATGCCTAGCAGGTGGCAAGAATCCAGCGGAGGCTCCTCCATCTCCTGGCCAGCGCCTTTTATGAGTACTGCGGCAGCGTAGTTGGCTGGCACTTAATGTGCTTTGCCTACTAATTAGGTTGTTTGGCGGCTGCCGTCACATTTCAAGTGCTGGAACAGGTGACAAAAAAGGTGACGCTAAGACCAGGAGCAGCTGCGAAGCTCGGTGCAGAGCCTTTGCGAAATAATAACAACAACAGTGGGTCCCAACTGCACTTGAAGCTAACACTTTTGAGCTGCAGCCAAGGAAATGGGTAAATGTTTTCATTAGGCTAAAGGGGTTAATGAATGCTCTACATTTAGGTAATAATAATTCATTAGTCTTGTAGTTAATATATATGTATATTTAAGAACCTATAATCCGAATTACGGATAAGTTTGCATTAGTCAAGAATTTCTATTGAATGAGCTGACCTCTTGAAGCAACTGTTTAATTCATGATTACATTTTATAGTCGGCTTATCAATTAGCTGAACCTTCAGCAAGGCGCACACATTAATTGCAAAATAATACTATTTAAGTGTGCTAATAGGATTATCAATCAACGAAGTAATTCGGCCAAGCAACTCAACAATCAAGGTGCTCCAAAATGTGTTTACCAAATTGATAAGGCAATAGCTTCGATTAGGTTACGCAGGTGGTAACCAAACTTAACAAATTTCATAAGCTTTTTGCTTAAATTTAAATAACAGTCTTTGAAAAGATTTGGTAGCATTTTTAGTTATTAATTTAAAGGAAAAGTAGGTGCTGCTGTCTGATATACCCCAACCGAAGCTCATCTGGAAACTTGGCTTTTTAATTTGAAAGGCAGATGACTTTCCGTGAAAGTGCAGCAGTAACTTGTTAGAAGTGCGTTTTGCAAAAACAACTACAACAATATAAGCAGCAAAGAAGAGGAGACTCAAAGTGAGAAATGTTTTAATTACTCATCTCAAGGCGAATCCGCAGACCTGCTTTCCAGCGCTCCTTCCTCCCTCACGATTGAAGCTGGAAAATGGGGTTCCAAAAAGGAAATTTTAATATTTAATTAACAAAGTTTTAAAAGTACAAAAAATAGATTTCCAATTAAGGAAAAATTCAGATTTACTACAAAATACTGTATACTTTTACTTCATCTTTTCAGGTATGTATATATACTGATTGACAGCTATAATGTCTCTGCTACTTTATATTAATATACAAGTAATCCTCACAAAATCTACCTGTGAATAAATTTATATATATTTTCTTAACGTGCCGAGTCCGAGATTAGCTAAAACAGAAGCAACAAAGGTCTTTTGACAATTGTTTGTTGGAACACTCGAATGCCTCCTTTCTGGCCTCCCCGGGTTGCCGCCGTTGTGTGCTAAATAGTTCCCCCAGGGCCGAATCCACTCGAGTCGTGCTAATGAGAACACCCCAGTGACAAGGAGACTCCGGCAAGGACGAGCGCTGCGCCGAGTGCAGGCGGCAAAAGGATGCTTCTAATGCAGGGAGAGAGCGCTGCATTATGCAAATACTCGCAAAAGGCGAAACAATTTTTGCACTGCAGTGGCGGAGTGGAGTGGACCTGAGTCTGTCCTGGCAGGGCAGAAGATAAGGAGGTGTGCAGGTCCTTAGCCAGGAGCCGGCGGCAATGCAGCGTGTTCCATTTGCACACATTTCGACAGGCCAATTAATTATGCTAAATTCGTTTAGAGAAATGCAAAGCATTGCACAAAGACAAGATGAAGCCCAGAGTTCATTGTTAAACAAAAGAGCTTTATTATTATTTATTTTAATTTCTAATATTTAATAAGGAGATAAGACAATTCACCGTAACTTATAAGTAGTTTAATCATAAAAAGTATAACAATTTTCCAGGTAAGCTTCACAATCTATAGATAAACATTAAAGCTCGTTGAAAAAAACTTAATAATTAAATACCAAGGGAAAAATCGACGATATTTCGCCATTTCATATAGGTAAATATTTAATAATGCTGCTCGTGTGCTTTAGTTCAAAGGCTAAATAAATAAAACCTACCTATGAAATATCATAAACCCATTAATCTTTACCGTTTACCACTCGAAACACTTGGCAATTCATCCCTGAAAATATTACAAGGGTCCAGACCAGCAACTTGGCGCCCGGAACCACCTTTTGACCAGCGCATTGGATGACTTTTAAGTGGGTCTAAGGCTCAGATCTCCGTGCAGGCGAGAGGCTGGGTCTCTGGCCTGACATTTGCGCTGGCCATGCGCAATTAATTACAAAAGTGTTTGCGGACAAATGGCGTCCAGCAACATGGCATTTGGTACACGTGGTCGCTGGGTGTTTATCCTGTGAACCCCAACTGGACATGGCCCTGGGAAACGATGCTGTGGAGGGCATTTCTTTTCGCCGGCCCACCAGCTCACCAGCTCGACAGCTCGCCAGCGTTTATGCGGCTCAAGTGGTACGGAGACCGAGAGAAGCGGCAGCTCTTTGCTTTGAGGTTATTTGCTTTTAATGACTCGCAAACTACACCCACACCCACGTCCACCGTGCACGCATACGGGCAGCAGTGGCCGTGCCACATGGCGTATGCGTCATGTGTATGTTGCCTAAGTGTTTTCAGATATCGCGCATCAGTAGCCAACGACAGCATGTGCCCTGTGTCCCATGGTTTGTTGACTTTTAGACGCTGTTTGTTTGTCAGCACAATTTTGTTTTCCTTTTTTTTTTTTTTGCCCATATATTCCTTTTGCTTTTTTTTCTGTACTTTTTGGCTTTTCATCTTGGCATCGACGCAGACAAGCAGCAGGCCCCATAAATGAGCTTTGAAGTTTGCATACGCGAGTGCAGGCACTGCACTGGCTGGAAGGGATAATGCGGCGCAATTATAGACAGGGCCGGGAAGCCCTACCCCCACCCCGGTTATATCCTTGAAAATAAATTGTTTTGTTAATTATTTATGGTTGGTTTAATGAGTGTGTGCCGTACTCCTCCGCTGCTTACTGTACTCTGCCGGTCTGGCGGCCTGGCAGTCCCTCCGACATTCACGAGTTTGTTATACTTTTGCATTTTGCAATTATTTTAATGAGTTTTGCATTTAAGCGATTTTATGCAATCATCGTCATTCGCGATAGTGTTGGATGCCAAAGGGATATATGTGTGCATAAATACAGAGTATACAATATAATTGCCGCTTTTGCTTCATTAAAAAATAAATCTTTTTACGGCCTGCAGACTCATTAAAAGTTGAACAATTTGTATGGCGATATGATGAATAAATATCTCATTGAATTTAAGAGAAGCTTTTTTATGTGTTTTATATTTAATTAAAAAATTAATTTATCTACATTTTTGAATAACTAAAGGTGTTTTACGATTTTCTTTCTGAAAAAAGATATTATTTCTTCGATTTTAGGAGCAAAATATTGACCTCAACGATAAATACAATGAAAATCCGTCAATCCACCTTCACTTTAGGCTAGCTCAGAATATATTTCAACTAACATTCTTTTAAAAGCTTCATAAAAAATGCAAAACAATTTATTTTAAATAAAATTTATTTTAAATAAAGTGTTTCCCCACATCCCAAACCCTATTTTACCTGTTTATTTAAACGATTAGAAACCCCCAGTGGCTAAGATTGCCTCTTACCAAGAGGCGGCATTTATGATAACAATTCAAAACACTTCCACATGTGGTCCTAATATTCAAAACACTTTCCTCAAGGTAATCAGTCACTCATGGTAGTCGTAAAGGGCTTTATAAACATTCAAAAATAGACCTTTGAGTTCCCTACCCCAGTATTGGCTACCCTGTTTGGGGTCTGCTTAGAAATTATTGGTAAAGTGCGCCAACTAACTGTATGTCTTGGTACAAATCCATAAATCCATATAAGACGTACTCGTCAATGGGAACTCATTTTACTAATCGCTCGCCTGCGATTAGAACCAATTAAGATACACCCATTAAGATATGCAATGAAAACTGCGATCGCCAATACACTGAACTTGAACTTCGTAGTGCGAGTATCAGTGTTTCCCTGGGCTTTTGGCTATCGTTTAGCCGTTTTATGGGTTCCTCAAGAGTCCTAAGCCCGAGCACAAGCCTCTTGACCGCCCAAACTGATTGCTTATCAACCCGAACCCTCCTATAAAAGCCCCAGAAATTCACTAGGAAAGTCAGTTCTGTGCTCGGTTCGAAACTGTCTTCGCGTTTAGTTCGAAAAGCAATTGGAAAGTTGTCGCCATGAAATACCTGTGCGGCATTGTGCTCTTTGTCGCCCTTTTGGCCCTCAGTATAAGGCCATCAGAGGAGGCCTGTGGATACGAGGTGAGGAGTGCAAAATAAAAAAGGATAATACCTTCTGAATGTTGATACAAAAAAAAAATAGAAAATGTGATGATGTTCTTTATAATAAATTTGCTGCCAAAAATAATCCATTCAAAATTGTTAAATAAATCTTTTAAATTAATTCTCAGGCATGTCCCAAAACCAAGTCGAACATGATCAACATTCACATGGTTCCCCACTCCCACGACGACGTCGGTTGGCTGAAGACCGTCGACCAGTATTTCTATGGCCACAAGAGCAACATCCAGCACGCCGGAGTCCAGTACATCATCGATACTGTGGTCTCTGAACTCATCAAGGATCCCTCCCGTCGCTTCATCCAGGTGGAGACTTCCTTCTTCGCCAAGTGGTGGGCTGAGCAGTCGGAGACTGTGAAGCAGGTTGTCAAGAAACTGGTGAACGAGGGTCGCCTCGAGTTCACCGGTGGTGCCTGGAGCATGAACGATGAGGCTGCCGTCAACTACCAGAGTGTAATTGATCAGTTCACCCTGGGCTTGAAGTTCTTGGACGACACCTTTGGCTCCTGCGCCCGCCCCCGCATCGGCTGGCAGATCGACCCCTTCGGTCATTCCCGTGAGCAGGCCTCGATCTTCGCTCAGATGGGATATGACGGAGAGTTCTTCGCCCGCATGGATCACCGCGACAAGAACAACCGCATCGACAACTTGGGCATGGAGATGATCTGGGATGCCAGTGACTCGCTGAGCAACGATGAGATCTTTACTGGCTTGCTGTACCGTCACTACTCGGCTCCCCCCGGCTACTGCTTCGATGTCCACTGCGGAGACGATCCGATCATCGATACCAAGAGCTACGACAACAATGTCAAGTCCCGCGTGGACGATTTCCTCAGCTACGTCACGGAGGTGGCCAAGCACTACCGATCCAACCATATCATGATTCCCATGGGTGACGATTTCCAGTACGAAGACGCTCAGGTTAATTTCAAGAACATGGACAAGCTGATCAAGTAAGTAGTAAAGGCAGGAAATCTTTGCTCCTAATACTTATTCTGTGAATGCCGCCAGGTACGTCAACGAGCGTCAAGCCGAGGGTTCCACCTTCAACCTGTTCTACTCCACCCCCGCCTGCTACCTGAACTCTGTGCACGAGGGTCTCCAGACCTGGCCCAACAAGACCGAAGACTTCTTCCCCTACGGCAGTGACGACAACAGCTACTGGACTGGCTACTTCACTTCTCGCCCCACCCAGAAGCGTTTCGAGCGCGATGGCAACCATATCCTGCAGGTGGCCAAGCAACTCAGTGTCTTCGCCGAGCTCACTAGCAAGCAGCAGAAGGACGATCTGGAGTACCTCCGAGAGATCATGGGTGTGATGCAGCACCACGATGCCATCACCGGAACCGAGAAGCAGGCTGTGTCCAATGACTATGATCGCCTCTTGTACGACGGCATTCTGGGCGGCACCAACACTGCCCGCGATGCCCTCCGTAAACTGACCAATCTTCCAGACGGAGAATTTGAGAGCTGCCTTCAGGGGAACATCAGCGAATGCGCCTTCACCAAGGACGGAGCCGACAATGTGGTTGTGACCCTATACAACCCATTGGCCCACACTTCCACGCAGTATGTGCGGGTGCCTGTGAAGGACGAGAAATACGAAGTGACCGATGAGAAGGGCCGCGTGGTGCCCTCCGAAGTGGTCCCGGTCTTCTGGCAGATTCTGGCTCTGGAGTTCCGCAACAACGACACTCAGCATGAGTTGGTCTTTAAGGCTTCCGTCAACAAGATCGCCAGCTATTACATCAAGAAGGTCGATAGTGGTGAGAGCATGACAGTCGCTCAGCCCACTCATACCAAGAAGTCTGCCAAGGTCGAACAATCGGCCGCCGAGGTTCCCAAGCGTTTCAAGAAGGTTCATTCTTTGAAGAACGCTACCGAAACCTTTGACGACGAGGGAGAGACTGTGGTGCAGACCTCGGTAAGTTAACTAGATCCCTTTTTTTTATTTATAACACTAACCTTTAATTTCTTTGATTAGCAAATAAAACTGGTTATTGACAACAAGACAGGTCTCCTGAAGACCGTCGAAATGAACGGAATCTCCGAGAACATCGACCAGAGTTACGGTGTCTACAGGACTTATGACTCTGGCGCATATGTCTTCCGCCAGTACCACCAGGCCGACTTCATTGTCCAGGATGAGGGTGTAGAGTTCTCTGTTTACGATGGAACTTTGGTCAAGGAAATCTACCAGACCTTTAGCGAGTACGTTTGCCAGACTATCCGCATCTACGAGGGCGACAACAAGGTGGAGTTCGAGTGGCAGGTTGGCCCCATCGAAAGGGAGGAGGAGTTCGGCAGGGAAGTTGTCATCATCTTCAACAGCACTGTCGCCTCCAATGGCGTGTCGTACACCGACTCCAACGGCCGTGAGATGATCAAGCGAGTCAAGGATCAGCGCGAGGACTTCACCCCCGGTCTCGATAGGCAGCCGACGGCCGCCAACTACTATCCCATTACTTCCCGCATGGCCATACAGGACAGCAACAAGCGCATCGCCCTGCTGAACGATCGCGCCCAGGGAGGAGCCAGCATGCAGGATGGCCAGATGGAGCTGATGTTGCACCGTCGCCTTGTCCGCGATGATGGCTACGGAGTGGGTGAGGCCCTGAACGAGGAGAAGTACGGCCAGCCTATGATTGCCCGTGGCAAGGTCTACCTGATCCTCAGCCCCGCCGATGAGTCCACGGCCAGCGAACGTTATGCCGAGAAGGAGATCCATCTGCCCTTCTGGAAGTTCTTCAGCAAGAACTCCGGAAGCACCAACTCGGTGCCCAAGGCGGTGCCCAGCTTCGATGACTTCCCCCAGTCGGTGCATCTGCTCACCCTGGAGCCCTTCAATGATGACGAGGTCCTGCTGCGTGTGGAGAACTTCCTGGATCACACTGAAGGCAAGGTGGTTAGCTTCAACATCCGCCCGATCTTCGACTACTTAAACGGACAGGAGATCCGCGAAACCACTCTGGACGGCAACCTGCCCCTGAGCGACATGAAGCGCTTCAAGTTCCTCCATGACAACGGTGGCCGCAGGCCTGACGCCGTCGAGTACTACACCGCCGCCCACAAGCCCCTGGCCGCTGAGAAGTCACAGGAAGCCTCCGAGTTCAGCGTCACCCTGCACCCAATGCAGATCCGCACCTTCATCATCAAGACGGAGTAAAACAAAATTCTCACCGAGAAATTCAGTATTTAAAGCAATGTAAAATATTTAAATGAATAAAATCAATGACAAAAATCTAAATAACTACATATTATTTAATATAGCTTGTGGGGTAGTTTCTTGAGATGAGATTATGCTTTAATTCCAGTAAAAGGACTTCTCTGTATAACTTGATCTGATAAAAATAATTACATATAATATGATATGATCGTAATTTAAAAGGACGTTTTGTCCGCCTGCGGTCCGCAAAACTTCAGTTTTTAATATTTTTTACGAAGTTTTTGTCTGCTAGGTATGGGCTGGGCACCCCTGCTATAGTAGATACTCGATAACCAAATAAAGGTTTAATGAAGAAAATTGTAATTGAAAAATGTATTAGCCAGCTCATTGACAGTATGGTCGCACAATGAGAATTTTATTTGTATATCATTTCGCTGGTTTTTGAACTAAAAAAATTTTAGAAAATTAGGAAAATAATATGATTTGTGGTGGCAAGGTTATTGCGCTGTAAAATTAATTAAAATTTTTTTTTTTTTGTAATAATTATAAAAATTTTAAGCATTATGGTTAAAAACATAAATTAAAAAGATTCTGCATTTATTTATGCAACAATACATCAACGAGGAATTCAGAAATTCATAGTAATACGCCGCAAATGGCGGCGGTTTTTTTTTTTTGTTTACTTTTACGGACGGTGTGGCCGTAGTCGTGTTACCAAAATAATCCAAGCAAAATTAGGTCCTAATGAAGTAACTAATTAATGAAAACTGCAACTTTGTAAACACGGCAAAAATTTTGGTGTCAATTTTTTTATAAAATAACTACCTGCCAGAATGATCTTGTGGTGGTGTGGAATAAACATCAATAGACCACTGAGTAAACAGTTTTTTTCCTTTTGTAAATAAGATATGATTTCATACAAAAAAGCCATTTACTTTTCATTCCGGCCAGAAAAAGGTGCCCGTTTTTCAAATCGAAAAAATCTTTCGTTTTGGATTAGCGGAGCACCATTTTTCGTTTTCAAAAACGAAAACAAAAAAATTTTGCTGTATGTTTTGACTAAGTAATTAACAACAATATTCTATCCAAGCAAATCTTTGCGAAGACAGACTCTCTCTTTTGGCAGTGATATAAAAATAGCCCCGTGATAAAAAACTATCGTTAAATCGATACGTCGATATTACAATCAAAGTTCCCTGGTTAGGGGCTTTCCCCCTAGATTTAGGGGTTTTTTGATGTCCTAGGGGGAATTTTAGGGGGGAAGAATTTTTAGGGTGAAGGTTTGGGGGCTTTATTAAACTTGTATTAATACTATGTTTTGAAAAAACATTGTAGAATTTATGATCTACCCAATAATTTCAACAACTTTTGAAACTTTTTGTAAACAAAAAGGTTTCCATGCCGAGTTTTCAGAAAATGTTATCGATGCATATATATGTTCATTCCTTATATTTATGAAATTAACTGATTTTTTAAATTTGGGGTGAAAACTGGATTTTTAGGGGGAAATTTCAACTTCTTGGGATTTTTTAGGGGGAGAGCCAAATTTTCATCTGGCAACACTGATTACAACTCTATTTCCGCCGAAAAGCCCAATGGCGGCCGTGCATAAGTTTTAAAGTGCCAAAAATAAATTGAAATGAATCCTTGAGAGGAGCTTCATCAGAAGCTGCAACGGGCTGCGCATGCTCAGCAACGATGACTCCTCTCTGGTGCCGCTGCTCCTCTTTCCATATTGTGAGTACTTGAAGCCACCTCACCTCTGCAAGAGTCAATATATTTATGCACGTATTTATCGCCCGGATATTGCAGTATCATCTTGCTGCGACGCCTGTTTACGTGGAACTTTCAGCGCAAGCTGAACAAAAATGGCGATAAGCTGGCAAAGCTTAAGGAGAAGAAGCGCGTCCTAATGGAGCAGGTCATGGACAAGGAGACCTATAAGGTAAGACAATCTTTAGTGATGAATATGAATATTTAATTTCCATTCCGTCTATCGGAACAAAAATAACATTAGTAGCACCAGCCTGAACCGCAGCGTCATCAGCTCGCATTCACAGGCTTTATCGTGCGCGACAGAAACGATTTGCAAGGAGTGTTTTGCCCACAATGGTGCGTTATGATCGGTATAGAAGAATTTATTGAGATGAGTTCGAGAGGAAGCATGAGAACCGATTAGACTTTCGCTTTTGTTTTGTTTTTTTTTTGGCTGTCGAATGCTGGCCGAGCAGATGTTTACCATGCAGACAATGCCAATTGGAAAGAATTATTTGCAATTCTTGAAATCAACGACATTCAGGGTTAATGACAGATTTTATACTTATATACAAAAATAAATTCTATTTGTTACAGGTTTAGAATTATGTTAATTGTGTATATGATATCTAATTGTTATTTTTTTAAAATATTTTTTATAGGAATGCTGCCCAAGGAGGAGTACGAGTACGCTTCATTCCGGTGTGCCTTTTGCAGTGCACTGAACCAGGCAAGGAAGGAGCGACCTGTGGCACCTCGCCTCTCGCTGGAGGCCCCGACACCGACTAAGCGCAACGAAAGCTCCGAGAGTGAATCATATGATGACGAGTCAGGTAGCTATTTTATTTTTTGGGGGGAAATCCACTTAAAGTTAAAGTCTCCCGTGATTAATGTAGGTGTAGATGTGTTAAGAATAGTGCTCCCTAAATCGGTCTTGGTAAATGTTTGTGAGGGTGATATGTATATGGAAAAAATATTAATTTTTTGTTTTGTATCTATTCCATTAAATTTAAATCTTTACTTAATATTTTAATGGTTTTCTTTCTCAAGTTCTAAGAATACCTTTACTAACAATATCGTATACCATTTCAGAGAAACAGGCACCAGTTCGAAGAGTCCTGCTGCAGGAAGTGCCATCCCGCATGCTGGATCATCTCACCAAAAAGGATTTGCGCCATTCAGGAGATGGTCTCCCACAAACCTCACGGACCACATTGGCATTTGGTAAGATTTGAAATGTTTATTTCAATCTTTTGATTTACATTGTGTATAAATAGATTTTCGACTTAGGAATCAATATAGAAACTTCTGCCTTGTGTATCTAAGCTTTTTATAGTACGGTCAATTTATTGAGATTTATTGATAATGATATCAATTTTTAGTACTTTATTGAGATTTATTGATAATGATATCAATTTTGCATAATTTATTGGGATTTTATTAATAGAAGAATCAATTTTGCATAATTTATTGGGATTTTATTAATAGAAGAATCAATTTTGCATAATTTATTGAGATTTATTGATAATGATATCAATTTTTAGTACTTTATTGAGATTTATTGATAATGTAATCAATTTTGCATACTTTATTGAGATTTATTGATAATGATATCAATTTTTAGTACTTTATTGAGATTTATTGATAATGTAATCAATTTTGCATAATTTATTGAGATTTATTGATAATGATATCAATTTTTAGTACTTTATTGAGATTTATTGATAATGTAATCAATTTTGCATAATTTATTGAGATTTATTGATAATGATATCAATTTTTAGTACTTTATTGAGATTTATTGATAATGTAATCAATTTTGCATAATTTATTGAGATTTATTGATAATGTAATCAATTTTGCATACTTTATTGAGATTTATTGATAATGATATCAATTTTTAGTACTTTATTGAGATTTATTGATAATGTAATCAATTTTGCATAATTTATTGAGATTTATTGATAATGATATCAATTTTTAGTACTTTATTGAGATTTATTGATAATGTAATCAATTTTGCATACTTTATTGAGATTTATTGATAATGATATCAATTTTTAGTACTTTATTGAGATTTATTGATAATGTAATCAATTTTGCATAATTTATTGAGATTTATTGATAATGATATCAATTTTTAGTACTTTATTGAGATTTATTGATAATGTAATCAATTTTGCATAATTTATTGAGATTTATTGATAATGATATCAATTTTTAGTACTTTATTGAGATTTATTGATAATGTAATCAATTTTGCATACTTTATTGAGATTTATTGATAATGATATCAATTTTTAGTACTTTATTGAGATTTATTGATAATGTAATCAATTTTGCATAATTTATTGAGATTTATTGATAATGATATCAATTTTTAGTACTTTATTGAGATTTATTGATAATGTAATCAATTTTGCATACTTTATTGAGATTTATTGATAATGATATCAATTTTTAGTACTTTATTGAGATTTATTGATAATGTAATCAATTTTGCATAATTTATTGAGATTTATTGATAATGATATCAATTTTTAGTACTTTATTGAGATTTATTGATAATGTAATCAATTTTGCATACTTTATTGAGATTTATTGATAATGATATCAATTTTTAGTACTTTATTGAGATTTATTGATAATGATATCAATTTTGCATAATTTATTGGGATTTTATTAATAGAAGAATCAATTTTGCATAATTTATTGGGATTTTATTAATAGAAGAATCAATTTTGCATAATTTATTGAGATTTATTGATAATGTATAATGTATATACTTATACTTATACCTATACTTTTGCTTATACTTATACCATAATACTCCTGTTAATTAACTTACCCTCTCATCCAATCCTAGCAGCATGGTAAAATTACATTCTTGTATACCTTAATACCATTACTTTTGCTTCACTAACAACTTTAATCTTAATCCGCTTATTATGCATGCCAGTAGTATTTTCCTCGCATCATTTTCTATTTACTAATTGCTTTGAGTTTCTGTTCGTGTTAAGGATTCCAAGGAACAACTTCGCCTCTTTGTCCTTTGAGGCGCAAGACGATAAAAAAAAGTTGCTGAAGAAACTACCACATGAGCGCATCACCCTCAAGCAGGTCCTAAGCCATCCATTAATTCTGAAGAGAAGCTATTGATTATAGTGCGAATCGCGGTTATACGACGACTCCGAGAACGATTGTGGAATCCTAACATTTACCAGCAGTAAGTATTCTTGGAGAAAATTCAGTTCAACATTGATTGCAATACCAAAATTTAGATGACTCGAGAAACTCTCAACAGAGAGCCGGTGCAGAAGGCTCACCTGCGCCAGTACGAACTCGGATTAGAGTTCCGAGTGAGAGCTTACCACTTTAAGCATGGCGATATGAAGCTCAAGGTTGATATAAACATAAAAAAGACAAACATTTTTAAAATTTTAATTATTTTAATTACTTTCCTGCAGTACGTGCCCAAGATCAGCTCGCTATATCTGCAGAGCAACGAGGAGAGTGTGGAGAGCGATCGCCAGCAGAGGGCACCGGCCCTGGAGTATCGGGTATATATATATATATATATATATAGCCTATTCAACCCCGAAATCAAATAAGGTAAGCAGGCATTAATTTCTCCAACTACATATGTTTTCTAATGACTCATTATTAATTTTTTTTTCTTTTATCAGCGTCTTGTTCTTTGATAAGTATTTAAAGCACATTAAACTTCTGACCATGGGCACATTACTCAGACCGCGAAAAAAGTCAAGTGCTTCCAGAAGTGATTAATAAACAGCAGCTACCGTTCGTTTAATGGAGTTTCATTTTAAACAATTTTAATACTAATAATTTGGGAAGTGTTCTTACGAAAACCATTTAAATTTATTTAAAATCTGGCATTCCGCACCGAACTCCACATGGCCCTCTGTACGGGAATCCGCAGATCGGTGCGTGACATTTTTGCTTCCTTCTGCAAACCACATCGTTTGAGGGATAACCGTTTTTCATATCCATTCTGATTGTACATTTCCTACGCTTTGGCTTGGGCTTGGGCTCAGGCTCGGGCTCCGGCTCGGATTCTTCCTCACTCACTGGGCTCAAAACCCGCAATTCGGAAATATGGGTCTCGTAAACCGCATCTTGGTGCATAGATTTCCTACCGGGCTTCTGCGTATGTTTCTCTCTTCTATTGGTTACTTTTACGTGAATGGTGCTCTTGTCTGGGAAGGCGGAGGCCCTTTGTAAGCGTACCAATTTTTCATCAGAGTCCTCTATCGTATTGGAGGAATCCGTTTTGTCCATTCGCTCTTCAGAGTCCAGCATTATATATTTAGAGGCTTTCGTTTTTTCGGTTTGTATTTCAGAGTCATAATTTGGGGTATTCCTAGAGAAAAAAGTAAATACGATGCGATTATACTTTGCGTTACTTACAAAAACCTTACTTTGAAATGGGCCTTTTGGGCGTTTTTGTTTTCTTCGGTGACAACACATCATCGATGTTAGGCGAGCGGACCTTGAATGAACATCTTCGCCGTTTGAGGGGTGGACTTGGGGCGTCGAAAGATTTTGGCTTGGATTCCTTTACCTTGTTGGGATCTTCAAGGAAAATGGGGATCTCGCTGTTTCTCTCGTAGTCGTGATTATCTGTCTCGTTGGTGCGGCAGATGCATTGTTCATTGAATTCCGATGGCGCGGCAGAGCCCGATGAGGGGAGGTTGGGTATGTAGGATGGGTAGGACGCTGGGTGGTTAGGAACTTCTACCGAGTCGGGATTGACTTCCTGTTTATATTGCCTCTGAACGCTTTGAGGATCATCAGAATTTGACGAGTCGATGTGACTCTGTACTTCATTCTGGGTGACCTTACTGCCAATGCCAATGCAGTTGCTTCATCCCAAGTTGGTAAATAACCCATTACCGAATCGAAATTGGAACATATCAACTTTTTGGGTACAACACATTAAAGCCCAAGCATTCAGCGCAGAGATATAATTATTCCCAAAGGTATATTTCGGGTTTAGGAAAATATGCAAATTGTTTATTCGAAGTTGAACATTTATAAACTTATTTATTATAATGTGTTGTTCTTTATATATATTTTTTTTATATAAAATGTAATATCGAGAATAACTAGGCATCTTTTGTATAATTAAGATCACTTATTTTCATGTTAAAAATGGACTCTGCACTTATATCCTTAGCCTTTTGCTAAAAAACTATTAGTTCGCAAACTACCAAAGTGTGATCGACCAGTTCACAGTCGGTTTGAAGTGAGTGAAGTGTCGTCTAGAATCCCATTAGTATGTAGTTCCTAAACTATCGCCCTTAGGTTCCTAAATGACAACTTCGGCGTCTGTGGTCGTCCCCGCGTCGGCTGGCAAATCGATGCATTCGGTCATTCCCGAGAGCAGGCCTCGATGTTTGCCCAAATGGGCTTCGATGGCCAATTCTTTGCCCGCATGGACCAGAATGACAAAAACAAGCGAGTGGACAACCTGGGACTTGAAATGATCTGGGATGCCAGTGAGACTCTGAAGGAAATGGAGTTCTTCACGGGAATGCTCTACAACCATTACTCGGCGCCTCCTGGCTTCTGCTTTGACTCGCTCTGCCAAGATGATCCCATTATTGATGGAAAAAGCTACGACAATAATGTCAACTCTAGGATCAATGATTTCATCAACTACGCCACCAACCTGGCCAAGTATTATCGCTCGAGCCACATAATGGTGCCCATGGGCGATGACTTTCAGTACGAAAATGCATACATGAACTACAAGAACATGGACAAACTTATCAAGTTAGTAAAGAATGCAGTCGATTTGATTATAATCTTTAAAAATATACCTCCCCACTAGGTATGTCAACGAACGCCAAGCAACCGGCTCCAAGTTTAATATCTTCTACTCGACGGCTGGTTGTTATTTGAATTCCCTACACAAGAATCTTCAGAGCTGGCCAAACAAGACCCAGGACTTCCTACCCCATTCCCACGAGGCAAAGAGCTTTTGGACCGGCTTCTTTACCTCCCGTCCTACCCAGAAAAGATTCGAGCGCGACGGCAACCACATGCTCCAAGTGGCCAAACAGCTGAGTGTCCTGGCTGATCTATCCAGTGAGCAGCAGACCAACGACTTGGAATATCTGCGTCAGATCATGGGAGTGATGCAGCATCATGATGCCATTACTGGAACCGAGAAGCAAGAAGTCTCCAATGACTACGATCGACTACTGTACGATGCCATCTTGGGAGGAGCTAACACAGCCCGCGATGCCCTCCGGGTTCTCACCAACCAGCCGAATGGAGAGTTTGAAAGCTGTCTGAGGCTGAACATCAGCGAGTGTGCCTTCACCAAGGACAGCGCTGATAATGTAGTTGTCACCCTTTACAACCCATTGGCCCATACTTCCACGCAATATGTGCGCGTTCCAGTGAAAAATGAAAACTACGAGGTGACAAATGAGAAGGGGCAAGTTGTGGCTTCTGAGGTGGTTCCAGTCCCCTGGCAGGTTCTGGCCCTGGAGCACCGTAGTAACGACACTCAGCATGAGCTGGTCTTCAAAGCTTCCGTCAACAAGATTGGCAGCTTCTACATAAAAAAGGTTGAAAAGCAGCTGGGTCAATCAATGGATGTCCCCAACCGCTTCAAAAAGATTCACTCGTTGAAGAGCGATGCTGGGACCCATGATGATGGGGAGACGGTTGTGCAGACTTCGGTAAGGCCCAAGTCAACTATTTAAAATAACTCTTCTTCCATCTATATAATATCTCCAATCAGCTTATCAAACTGGTGATCGATAACAACTCAGGACGTTTGAAGACCGTTGAGATGAACGGGGTTTCCGAAAGAATTGACCAGACCTTTGGAATGTATAAGACTGCCCGGTCTTGCCATTACATTTTTCGCCAAGATGCCGACTTGGAACTCCTGGAAGATGTTGTCGAGTTTTCCGTTTATGATGGAGCCTTAGTCAAGGAAATCCACCAGAACTTTAATGAGTTTGTGTCCCAGGTAATTCGAATCTATGAAGACGTGAACCGCGTAGAGTTCGAGTGGTTGGTGGGTCCCATCCCCATAGATGATGAACTGGGCAAGGAGATAGTCACCGTCTTCAAGAGTGGAATCTCCAACGATGGAGTCTTCTACACCGACTCAAATGGCCGTGAAATGATCAGGCGCGAGAAAGACAAGCGCGAGGACTTTAGCCCCGATCTGAGTGAACAGCCAGTGAGCGGAAACATTTATCCGGTGACCTCCCGGTTCGCTATGCAAGACAGTAGCCGGCGATTGGTCCTCCTCAACGATCGCTCTCAGGGTGGAACCAGCTTGGAGAACGGACGTGTAGAGATGATGCTGCATCGTCGTCATATTTTTGCCGATGGCTCTGGTGCAGCCGAAGCCATTAACGAACAGCAGTTCGGAAAGGGTCTCATTGCCAGGGGAAAACTTTTCCTTTCCGTCAGCGCTGTCGAGGAAGGAGCCACTGCCGCCGAGCGTGTGGCCGAGAAGGAGATTCACCTGCCTTTCTGGAAATTCTTTAGCAAGGCCAGCGAAGTCTTCGAGGAAGTGTCCAAGTCGCTGCCCGATTTTAACGACTTACCGGAATCGGTTCACCTGCTCACCCTGGAACCCTACTCCGCGGATGAGATTCTGCTGCGAGTGGAGAACTTCCTAGATCAGACGGAGGTCAGTACGGTTAGCTTCAACATTCGTCAGATCTTCGATAGTCTGGGCGGTTTGGAAATCAGGGAAACCACTTTGGACGGCAACCTTCCCCTGAGCGATATGAAGCGACTAAAGTTCCCCCACGATGGTGCTGGACTCATTTCCTCAACTCCGGAGTACTTCACGAGTCTGCACAAGCCTTTGGCGGCTAACAAATCCCAGGAAGCAGCCGAGTTCAGCGTGACCTTGAATCCCATGCAGATTCGAACTTTTATCATCAAGAAGGAATTAGTTTAATTCAAAACTGGCCAAAGGGAAAGAAAAGCTAAAGAGAGAAAGGAGCCTTGTGTTTTTTTATTATTTTGTTTTACAAATTTCACTATGAAATCATTTATGGGGTAACAATTTCAATACTTCGACGAACCGCAAAAATAATTACTAGTTGGAAATGTCGATTCGAGATTATCAGTATCAGCCGCTCCGCAGGCTTTTCATATTTAGCGATTACAATGCAGATACATTTACTGCAGTGGCTTCGGCTTCCACCCTCATAGACAGCAACAACACCTCAAATCCCCTGGCCTGAGTCGACATAAGTCCTTCGGTTATTTGGTGAACCCGTGGCTTCCACTTCCCCCGTCGTTTTGCATTTTGTTGTGAGCTTTCGGCGCAGCAAGGCTTTGCCATGCGGATATCTGTCTATATATATATACCTACTATATATGTACAAGTAGGAATGATATCTGTGTGCTCTAATGCTGCTAATGTCTGGCACTCGAAAAAAGATTTGCGCCCAATACCCCATATCCGAGCCCCTGCCCACTAAATACTTTTGTGCCAACACCACACTCGCCACTCGCGTTGCAGGAGGAGGACTGTCCTGGGCTCTGGGCTGGGTCCTGGGCTTTTATTATTAAGTTCGCCACGGGAGACTTTAATCTTCGGTTCAGTCTCCTGGTTGGGACAGCCGGCTCGCACCGCTCTACTTCATTTCACTTCACTGCGATGCAAAACAATGAACTCCTGAAATTCATGCCATATGTGTGTGTGAGCCCTGCGTCCTGTGTCCTAAGTCCTGAGTCCTCAGTCCTCAGTCCTTAGTCCCTGTGTCCTGGGAGATGGGAAAAATTATTTAATATTACCCGTCTTAGCCGATGAGGCGAGGCAAGTTGAGGCGTTGTTTGGTCTTAATCCTGGACGAGCATTAGACATGGAATTTAATTTAGTTCCAGCTGCAGCCGGGAAAGGCACATGGAGAAAAGTGTTGAACTTATTCTGAAAATCAGAAAAATTATAAAAAAAATGTTTCCATAAAATAACATGTAAACCTAGGCTCTCCCTTTTTTTCTATTAGCAAATTGTGAACACCTTATTATCCCATAATTTTCTCTCTGTGCAGGACAGTCTAGCCTGGCATATGTGTGCCAAGTGCCCCATGCTGGCTGTCAAACAGCGCTTTGCCGACTTTCGGTCGAGTTGGCGCTTTTAATTCAAATGAAACCCATACTAGAAAACGCTGCCTGTTTACTCACTGAGCCGGGCATATAATCCAACTTTGATTAAGTAATTTCGACGTCGGGTAGCGTAATAAGTTGGGTGTTCAAATCCAAGACTCAGTCGTTTATTCCCGTGTGTGTGTGTGGGTGTGTGGGGGCGTGTTACATTCAAACAAAACAAAAGGACTCAAACGGAAAAAGAAACAAGAAAGGAAGCTAACTTCGGCACGCCGAAGTTTGTATACCCTTGCAGATTGGTTTTCATATTTATATTATAAATTATAATGCCGAAAACAGACACTAAACGGAGTTTCATAACATTTTACCTATACTTAATATGTTTACAGTTTGACAGTTACAGTTATACATTCCCAGCTTTACATTTTCTCTACATCTACGGATCACTTATATGGCAGCTATATTATATAGTTCTCCGATTTTCATAATATTGTTACCAAAATTCTGAAATAATACTAAAAGCTCATGTCTCAAAGTAGATGAAAATACGTTGAAAAACAACGAAGTTATAATTTTTTCTATCGCTTTCCCTATCGTTCCTATGGCAGCTATAAGATATAGTCGTCCGATTTTCATTAAATTTATACCAAAATTTTGAAATAATACCAGAAGCTCATGTCTCAAAGTAGATGAAAATACGTTGAAAAAGAACGAAGTTATAATTTTTTCTATTACCTTCCCTATCGTTCCTATGGCAGCTATAAGATATAGTGGTCCGATTTTCATAAAATTTTTACCAAAATTCAAAAGTAATATATAATGGCCATGTCTTAAAAATTGTGCAAAAATGTTAAAAAACATCCAAGTTATAATTTTTTTCTAAAAATTTATCGAACATTTGTATGACAGCTATATGATATAGTCGTCCGATCCGGCCCGTTCCGACATATATAGCAGTGAGAGTATATAGAAGACTATATGTAAAGTTTCATTCAGATAGCTTTAAAACTGAGGGACTAGTTTGCGTAGAAACGGACAGACGGACAGACGGACAGACGGACGGACAGACGGACAGACGGACGGACAGACGGACATGGCTAGATCGACTCGGCTGGTGATGCTGATCAATAATATATATACTTTATAGGGTCGGAAACGTCTCCTTCACTGCGTTGCAAACTTCTGACTGAAATTATAATACCCTGCAAGGGTATAAAAAGGGAAAAGAATTTGGTAGAGCACCATAATGATTAACACAATGCTTCCTATCACATTGCAGTATATTCCTGCTGAGTTTGCTTGTTTGTTTTGAGATTTTCGGGCCGTTATGTGCAATTACCATAATAACGATATAATCACTCAATCGTGCAGAGTTCACGCACTTTAATTGACAATTGACATTCGATTGTTTAATGGGTAAACAAGTTGAAAAAATAATTGATCACTTGGAGGTTTTGACAAAGATATAGACCCTACACAATATTTAAATAGCGTTCAGTTAATTATTTTGAAATATTTAAAAATAAAGCATGCTCTAACTTCTGTCAAAGTTCAATCGAAATTTTAACCAGAATAGGAATTGGTCTAAAAAACAAGGGCCAGAATTCGAAATATGAAAAACAATGAAAAAACCGACAAAACAATGGGGAAAATGGCAAACTAAGCGGCTAAACAAATACCGTCATCGGGCATAAATCCTCTCACTAAAGCGTTCACTCGACAACTCAATAATACGAGCACAACGGCGCAAAAAGAACGATCCGATGTGTGCTTTTTGGCACTTCAAATACAGGAAACTGCAGCCGGCTTGTGGCTTATAGACAATCGACTGGCTGGCCCCCCGGAACCTAAGCACTCAGTGGGTAAACTGTGGGCAAGTTAGTGCTTGTGTGTGTCATTTTAATCAACGGCAACATGCAGCGGATTATCCGACAGCTAAACAACACCCGATGCCAATGAATGGAGGAGCGTTTCGCTTTGACAATTGCCACTACGGTGCTTAACGCTCCTCTTCTCGTATTTTTTATTTGTTGCCACCCCTGCACAGTGGTGGAAATATATGAAATTCATATTGGAATACTATTTATTGAGAATAATTAGACCATTAATAGTTTTTATTTTACCTCAGATGAAAGCTAACCATTTCCAAATGTAACTTTTCTTTTGTACGATCTTTATCTTTAGAGGTTACTTTCAAGTTTAAGGCAATTAAACTTGAAAGTAAACTTTTATTGTAATAATTGTTTTTTAATTTTAAGCAAAGTAATAACTATTTAATATTTTATTATACAATTGATATGATAAATGAAATATTTAAACCAGTGTGCCCTCGACATCAATTAAATGCGCAGTGAGCCTCAGGCCTACTTAGGGTTTGTTAAACGTTACACTCAAGCTGAATATAAGAGTACGTACACTGAGAAGAATTATGTTTTAGTCTTAAAATCGTACTGGGAAACTAAACTTGCAATGACTTTGAAGTTTTACTTTCGCAGTTATTCAAAGTTAAAGCTACAGATTTTACATTTCCTAGGACATTATATTTCCCTCAGTGTGCTTATTGTCTATGTATTTTTTTTTTAGGGATTTCAAATTTATTGAACCGCAACAAATGTCATTGATGTCACCATCAACAGCATCCATCTGCCACTGCACTTAATGACGATCAGCATAGTCATCATGAACATGCGGCATCGACAAGCGTATCCGAATCTTTTTATTAGCAACAAGTTTTTAATATCGCAGCAGGAGCTCATATCCATGGAGGTACAAAGTACCATAAAAATGCCTCGAACTTTTAACAATAGCGCCCTAGTCTATCTATATCCTGCCTTCGTCCTTGTACCCATCCCGCCGGCCCGCTACGGATCCCCTTCAAAGGCTGAAGCAGCCCTCAGCGAGTGCCGATTTTATAAGAATTTAATATGCGCCACGTATTTGATGTCGAGGATGTGTTTCGGTTTATACGGAATCGTCCTTTATTTTTCTGCGCAGTTTTCTTGAATCATTCACACTTGGGTTGGATAAAAAACTGTACAGATTGATTTGGTAAGGGAAAGGTTTATAAATTAAATGTTTATAAGATATATTTTGTAATATATATGCCTATTCTTCGAGATTATTTCAAACCTTTTTTATATATGGTAAATATTAATTTTAAAGACTCAATAATATTTATTTTTCCCCAATAATGAAATTTTCAACTATCATATCCTTAAAAGTATAAATGATCTATTGCAGCTGTCCCGCCTAATGCCTCGGTAATGTCGCCGTTTCCTCATTACATCATAACGATTATGAAATAAATACTTCCGTTTCTTTGAGTCCTCGCCTTTGGTGTGAGGAGCCTTTCTCGCTCGCTCTCATCGGCCTCAAGGCTCTGCGATTTTCCATAGAAGAGAAATAAATCAACGGCATGTCCTGTTCCTGGCGATTGCCAGGACTTCTCATTCATTCGCCCTCTCTCCCCCCCGAGAGACCCGTGTATTTATTGTTGCGTTTTTAAGTTTGGAATTTTTAATTTATGGCGCATCCTTCATTGTTAAAAGTTATAATTCTTGCATCTTTGGAGACCGAAACCGAAACCGAGACTGAGACTGAGAACACGGGCCTGCTTAAGGAATAAAATATATTTGCCGGCGAGTCCTGGAAATTATGATGTATGTGCAATAAATAATCCGAAATAAATAAATTATCACCAGAGGTTATTTATTTTTTGTTTCTCTCGGGGCAGGCCGGCCCGAGTGGCGCAACTAATAGATGCCGGTTTTCCTTAGGTCTAGGAAGCGAATCCTTTTTTTTTCCATTCGGATTCCTACGATCCCAATGATTTGTTGGCGACCCTGTCCCGCTTGGTGTGTGCA